CTCTCCTAAAAGCACTAATTGATCACCAAAATAAGATTACAAATACTCTCTTCCCGTAGGGATTTTATCCTAGGCGACAAAGCATACTACCGCCACGCCGACAACCAGGCACGAAGATGCGAAGTGGAAGTAGTAGGCAGACTACAGTGTGTCTGACATGAAGGTGGAAAAACTCATCACAATTCAGGCTATCTTTCACGCGGTCGGTAAGTGCGTAGAGTTCAATCTCTCCGTCGCAAACACTCTGTGATTGCAGAGAGAAGGAACGGCAGAAAATGCGAGCAGACTGATACAGTCTGTTTCATTCGGCCAATCAAAGCCCTGAGACGAAGCGGATGAGATCGCTCGGACAGGAACTTTATTCGTCTAACGTTTCCCGATCCGTCGTGGATCCATCCTCAGAGACAATAGCTGGAACGGATCAGAATCCTGTCTACCAGCTGAGACTGGGAGCGCTCTGGTACGGCGCAGATAGTATGCAGACTGGGTCTAGCAGATGGGTCATAAGCACTTGATCAACGCGAAGTTCATCAGTATCGCGGCACCCGTCAGCATTTGTCACTGCAGATCGGGTATTAATTTTAAATAGAAATGGGCGCACATCGAGTTCTTGGTTTCAAATAACTATATGGATGCATCCTCGTTGGCGTCAACGGAAGCTACTGGACTGCGCACTCATAAGAAGAAAATATTGACGGCAAAATTCTGACACTAACATTGCCAATAGCGGAGCACAGACACACACAGGTGGAAAGAAACGCTGAAATTTAACTCTGTGATAAGGATTGTGAACTGCCTTAATGGTGCTGATACTCCACATAGTTTTTTCATAAACTCCTCAGTCTTAGCGCCAGCCAGACCCCGAGAGTGAAGAAATTGGTTGTTGTGGGTTCCGTGTGTACGGTACATAATGCAACAAATGAATAACTCTCATGAAACAAATGTTAAAGCTAGTAGGAGACCAGCATTTTAAGACAGAAAGACTGAATATTGCTGCTAGCAAATATTCAAGTGAGTCAGGGCAGTAGTCAGGTTACCAAGTCAAACAGTTTGACAGAGGGGGAACATATAATGTGTAGGCACGGCTGCCCTCAAGCTATCGGGTGCCTTGTTTTTGCATTTTACTTGCAGACTACATCCGTATTGCAAAATTTTAGCTTTTGGGTTTACTCCTTATACAGTGTATCTATCTCCCTTCATCCTGCGTTACTGACCATACCCCTTACCTTCAGCGCCCTCCAGAAGGTCAGCTTACAGCAACTATATAAGTAGAGTTAGAAAGGGGTTTAGATTTTTAGAGGGGGCGTTTTATTTGTTGAAAAAATTAGTTACGCTCGAATACATCATTAAAGACAGGGAAAGAGCAGCCCATATGCATCAGAGATCGAAAAACCCACAAAATGGGGTCAGGTGGCTCTATTTGCTGCACTGGTGGCCTGGTCCTCCGTGTCCCTAATTATCGGCAGTTTATCACCAATAAAACTGAATTGCATAAAAGACTCTCAGCCGTTCGGACCACAGATACCGTCACTGCAAGCAGTTTTTGACCGCGCAGCTGATGCTCCTGCCCAAAATTTAGGGTACTGTGATTGTTAATGGGCCGGGGATTCAAGAAATAAGCTGGTCGCGGCTGTTGACCTTTCGCATGCACCGGTAGGCTAAGCTCTTTGCTGTCAGCTTTGTACCAAAAGAATTACTTAATCTTTCGAGTGGCTTGCTAGACGCCTTCCTAATATGGTGTAGGTGGCTTTTTGTCACAAGTGAAATCTGCATCACTCCTGTTTCGTGAAAGACAGAGCAGGTCGTTTAGTAAGCGTAGGCGGGCAGAAGAATATTACCGATCAACACAAGGGAGACCGAAATGGTAATTTCTGGCTTGTTAGCCATCATCAGCCAGCCACGTCCAACCTCAAATGGTACATCACCCGAGGGTCGAAACTCGCCATCTGTCGGTAAGAATTCCAACGCGCTAACCATTGAACCAGCAGCTCGTTGCTAAGCTAAACGATCGCGGCAGACAGAACAACGAGGCCGCGGCTCAATGTTTATTGTCTTGAACTTCTAATCAACAGGTCGTCGATTTTAGCCCTGGCCGGTCTACGACCTGAAGTTGCGTGCCGCTAGCTGGTGAGAGCTAACAAGCCAGCAATGACCATCCAGTTGCGCCTTCTCCTTGCCGGTAAAGTTAATCTGCTCACGCTACCATCCTCTATGCGACTGCTGGTGGGGCTCCAGCGTGAGCACCAAGGCACGAGTGGGTTCCATTGTCGATCGATGAGCACACATCAGCCTATATGAGGGATACGTAGGTGGGTTGCCTCTAAGTTCCCTTACTTAGCTCTGTTAGCCATTGCACCCCAGCAAAAAATGACTGAACGGCTGGGAACTAAATTGCTTTAAATACGGAGGAAAAACTAAAGCCCACGTCGGCAAATCCATCTTAGTGGCATACCACGGAATTCCTCACTGTAATAAATCCAACGCACTTTAAAATGATTACAATACACTAAAAGTCCTGGCTTGGTCAACCGACTGCTGTTTTGGCAACTCGGGCCTTCTGAAAAAGCTGCCTCCTTTTAGTGTGACGTGTATGACATTCTCACGAAAGTGGACCGCCATTGACTCGCATCGGTTCTCTTAAATCCCGGCATATTGTTGGGAGAGCAGAGTAGACGGTCTCCTTGATATTTTCAATCGCTCCAGTCGTCTTGACATAGTTTCATTAGGAGATGCTTCAAAAGTCTGCCTCACTATAAAGTAATTTACACGCAAGTCACATGGGGGGGCACATGGTGGACTTCCCCGCTCACGATGGTCAGACCGCCACCAGGTCCTAAATACCGCTTTTCGTGGAACATTTTACTGAGTCAATATCAGCTAACTTCGCCGCCTAGTAACTAAGAAGACACGCAAAGTAGTACGCCTCTTTATTATTTGCCTCTAATAGTTATAACTATGAGCAGAGCAATAAAACCCCAATTCGAACAGTCCACACCAAACCACGCTTCGGGAGATGAGTTGCAGCCGCCAAAAGTCCTCATATATATGCTACATTTAGCCACAGGCTTAGCAGGCTATAGGTCATTAAAAAAAAATAGGTTTCGCAGACACCGACGGCACGCTTGCTGCCGCGTAGAGCACTCGAGAGTCCTTTTAGGGAAGTTGGGTGGTCAACTGCCACCGCCAAGTAAGTCTATATAAAATGAGCATTGCGGTGTGCGCAGATGTATGAGAAATTTAAGTCGATTGGATATACCGCTGTAACCATAGAAGCAACAGAAACTACAAATAAAACTTCACCGTAGAAGAAATTACGTGCAACGGGTTCCAAATTCGCAGTGGCAGCATCCAATAATAAGCCCATCTGCGATTATGCAAGTCGTCGATTTGGAACTAGTCGTGTACAGAACTTCTTACTGTCAGTTACTCTGTGACGCCAATGGCTAACTAGTGACATCATAAACTACCCATAAAAGTATTGCCATTATGAATTGGTTCGAAAGCGAAACGGCGTCAAAAGCCTTTTCATGACAAAAATAAAGCAATAAAGGAGACCCGGGTACTATAGAAAAGAGTCAGCTGTTTCATACGAAGAATAAGAGGAACTCTCATCGGATAAATAAGGGCTTTCAATAGCCCCGTGAGTCCATTTCGTAGACTCGGCAAAGTACACAGTCAGCCCCTTCGCTTTTCCGTGAATCAAACTCAGTTCGACCTCCACGTTGAAGGAGCAGTCTGGGCAAATGGTTTGACGACAGAGATCAAATAGCTGAATAATGTTCGCGTTCCTGGGGAGGAAAAGACCAACAGGGCCATTGTGAGTGAGGCGCATCAGACGCTGAGTTAGAGACCAGAGGTCTCTGTGCTGACCATCGAAAGTCAGTGAGGAGAGATCGAATGCTCTACGACTGTTGTAGGCTGGACCGCCCCATGGAGGTGATGCAAAGGCAGCGTCAAAGGCTGGCGTTGAAGAAGCCGAAGGGGCAACGCCATCTAACCAGTCAAAAACGTCCGATTGAACGAACTGGATTTTCTCTTCTACATCATAGACTTTCGCGTTGGCGGAGGCGAGGCGCAACATTTCAGGATTTATGTCAACTGCTATAACTAAATGTGACAGAAAGAACAGTGAATTTTCGAGAATTTAGAGTGAAAAAAACAATGAATATTTTGTTTAAACAAAAAAATTATCTACTCAAACAACAGGATCGAGATTTGGAATATGCTAGGAAGTAGCGTAGGGACGGATTAAGGTTTGATCAATGCTGTCCCGAATGAGTCTCAATTAAGATAATTTACCAAATTTGATAAGAGATGAGACCACATGTGCCAATGAAGGCTGGCGGGAACCAAAAAACGATCACCTTCAAGACAGGGTACAATCGTCAATGTACTCAACATTTTTATTAGCATCAAGGAGCAACGAAAGTGTACCATTCCTATCCAATTGAGCAGAAGTTAAAAACAAACAAAGGGCGGCGCATATACGTGGACCTTAAAACACAAACTTTAACTTATTTAAGCTGAGAATAAAAACAAACCTTTAAAACCCATCAGAGCGAATTGAATACTGTTCCCACCGACACCGGCAAACAGGTCAACAATGGTGGGAGATTCCGAGGGAGAATTCAACATCAAAGCCATTCGTTGGGCTTGGTGTGCGGCGATCACTTCCGGGGTGACACTGAAGAGGCCTTCTGTGTGTGGGAGAGAGAAAAAACGGGCGGTAAGAAATGCGCGGCTAGTTCTGGTATTTGCTCGTCTGATGGAAGAAGAAAAAAAAGTCGCCAGGCAAAACCCTGAAATTACTGTGAAAAATGCACTGAAGGCGCGGCACCAATGGCCGATTGGCAAAAGTAAAGCAGTAGGCTTCCTCATTCGTCTTCGTGTTAAGTCAACCAAATTCGTTTTTGAACAGAGCCAAATGCGTTTTCTTGTGATGATTAAGGATAAAAGAAAGACAGTCGGGTTTAGGCTGTTCAGACACAGTCGCCAAACAGAGTGCTCGGATAAAACCGATTACCCTGTGAGACAGAGAAAAACCAAACTGAGGATTGGCGCAAAAAACGTACAAGACCAACCCTTTGTCGGCACTTTGAAAGAACGGCAGATAAAACTGCACTTGCTAGTGGATAAAAAAATGTAGAAAAAGCTTAAGTTAAGAAACAGGACAGTTATGAAATTTTTGTGTGACTTAAAAATACGATACAAAAAGCAAAGCTTTGAAATGAACCTACTGAACGTTTGAGTTATGTAATGGCGAACCTTTTCCTCAGCTTAACCACAAAAAGTTGAGTTAAAAGGGACATAGGCTAACAAAAATGGCGTCCGGCTCTGACGTC